TGGGTAATATTGGGGTACTGAAAATGGAAACTACTATAGTATGGAAACCACTATAGTATATTGGGTTATATTTGGGTAATATTGGGGTAATGGAGAAGAAAATGGAAACCACTATAGTATATTGGGTTGTATTGGGGGACGTACCCGCCCAAGAGCCAACATGTAATCCACGAGGCCCCCTTTTGTGTCAGGACGCTGGGTTTTATTGTGGCTCTTTCTGACTAATGTTTTTTGGCTATAGTCCCGCTTGCCTCCCCCTAACTCGCCTGTTGTGAGTCACCTTGCCTAACGGAAGCAGTTTTAGTCAGTCGCATAAATCTCCATACGCCCTGAAGCCACAAGCCCTAGACTTCAGGAAGTGCCTTTGGCCAGACAAAAACATTGACGTAGAAGCTAAACCACTATAATGAGGAATCAAATGGACAAGAAAATGGAACACAGAATGGAAACTGGCATCATGTAGCGAATTTTAGGGTAGTTGCCGTAGAAGACAAAAAAATTACCCATGGGTTTCCCTTGTAATCTATATCCCCTGTACAAAATGCAGAAATACATGTCGCGCGTACCCCAAAGACGCATTGTAAGCATTGAGGCCCCGACATTATCTTCAGCCCTGAATCTCTTGGCATGTAGGCCCCTACATTACCTAAAGCCCTATAAAGACCTTTAGCCCTAAACCCTAAACCCTAAACCGCAAATCCTCGAGAGGATGGAGACGAGATCGACTTCCGCGCGGAACTCTTGGAGCTTCCCGAGGTCAAGGGTCGCAAAACCCTCAAGGTCACACCAGGTTAGAGCCTATACCCCCGGGTTTAGGGTTTAGGGTTTAGGGTTTCCCATGTAGTTACTATTATATGGGCCATAGTCTACACTCCTGAAAGGGGATTATATAGGGGAGTTTTTAGGGGAGTATTATCGGGTTTTTAAGGGGATACTAGGATGGTCAATCCCCAAATTAAGGACCCTATGACTACCAGACGACTCATTAGTGAAAGGGTTTTGGTTTGGGGTTACCAAAGTCTGCCTAGCACAGTCCCTCTGAACCTTGATTAAGGCCCAATTTCCATTTCATTTTCCATTCTCCTTTCGCTGTCTATCCGTTGGATTCCCCATTACAATCCCATAAATCCCCAACTGCCGGGGTAAAAGTTGTGAATGGGGCAAGGGCTTAAGACTCAAACGTCATCTCCCCCTGCTGGGTACGAGGTGGCAACTGAAGGAGATGTGGTTGAAGCTTTCTCCCTGGATCCAGAACCTTGGTTTTGGTTTAGCCTAGCCTGCCCTGTAGCCCCTTTGACACAGGGGTTCACAGGGTAAATGTAGGGCTGTATAGGGATGATGAGCAAACATGAGAGGGTTCAACTTTCGGGACTTATCCAAAACCAGTATTCCGTGCATGTGAACCTTCAAAGACTACTGTCCTTCCACAACAGAAGTTGTACAGGATACCATGTAAGTTTGGTGAGTGAATCCAAGGCAAGACACTAAGCCGTATTCAGCTACCCAGGATTTCGACTACGATAACCCGCCCGGGGGCATGTCGAGCAAGTTTGGCGCCGCTGACCTTCGCGAGGCTGACTCAGTAGAGGTTTTGCCTTTTTCATGGTTGAGGATAAAGGGCTTAGTTACTGGTGGTCCCTATATAATTCCTATAATATAATCCTTATATACTGTATATATCTCTATTCCCCACAAACCCCCACTAAGTTTAGGGCTTCAGGTTTAGGGTGCCGGGAGGGTTTCGGGCGACAGTCCCACTTCGGACAGGCGGCGGGGAGCAGATTCTGTGTTTTTGGAGTTACTGCTTGTTAGCTAAGGAATAAGGGAATATAGCCCCAATATAGTCCCTTTGTAAAATATTCACATATTGCCTACTAAACCCCAGTAAGTAGAGTCTATCATCGTTTGCAGGGATGGTAGCTAACGACGAACCCCGGCTTTGCAAGGGGAGATTGCGGAGGCAGATTTATAGGTTGATAGGGATTTCTTTGGGAGTAACCTGTCAGGATTGGAGATCAGCGGCTCAACTTGCCCGTCATGAGGATTTGGGATTTATCTGGATACGGGTTTGCCTCTTGAACTTTTATGTTTGCTGTTTTGTCTGGGCGAAGGTAGCTTGGTCAGGAGTGTTGCTGTCATTTCCAGAGTGATCTCTGAACCCAGAAGCCCAAAAATTACAGTGTCCTGAATAGGCATGGGACCACTACGTACGGCACCTGAAGGATTACATGTCTGAGGGCTGGGAAAGTTCCGATGGTCAGGCCTTCTTCCCTCAAAGGATTCGGGTATTAGATGAACCATGAACCCTAAACCCTCTGCCCATGAACGGCAAAGCATCGTAGGAGTCCATGCCAAAGTGACACCAAACCCTTAACCTAAAGCACTAAACCTCATACAACATAGACTTAAAAAGCCTTGAACCCCCAACCCTACACAACCAGTTCAAACGTGGGCTGCTTTCTCCAACAAACTGAACGAATAACGATAGATAGCCCATCCTAAACTACATAGACCTCTCATCCATTCAAAGGACAGTAGCTTTCGACACCGGATTCCAATATACCTCCTTTCAGTCCGTGCTGCAGGCCCCAATAGAGGGGCCCTTCATTGGAAGAATCCTTCAACCTCACATATCCCATGCATAGCCTCCCTGCAGCCCCACTTCTGGGGATGAGACACTCTTTGAAGAATCCCAGGGTGATAGGTCGTAGGTTGTCAAACTCTTGGTCCTTTTCTGATCTTATAATATAGTAGTTTCCATTTTCTTTTCCATTATCCCAATATAATCCCAATATAAGCCTATCGACCCCTATATATATATCCCATTATAGTAGTTTGGTCCCAAGTATTATATGGCCACTCATGGTCACGGTGAGAATTGTCACGACCTCCAGGTGATGCGGGTGACTCCTCCGCCCCTGGGGTCGAGCCCCGAGGAAGAAGATGTCGCAGAAGACGCGGTGCGCGAGCCCTGAATTCGAAAAGAGGGTGCAGGGTTCCCTTCCTCAACATCCATGCTCATATAAAGCCCATCTCGCTGGGTCCCTTCCCCAGCCGCATGAGTAGGAGGAGCAGCAGATCATTGAATGAGTAGAGTTTGACTGGTTTGTGTCATGTCTTCGGTAGATGAAGATGCCTGCGCCTGCTGACCCCAGGCCGGCCTAGAGGTTGGCTCCCTGATGATGCTGCTTGTCAATTAAGACTCCTTTTTTTGCCAGGACCAAGACTGCAAACAAAACGCCAAGCCCTAAATAGTAGTTTCCATTTTATTTTCCATTATCCCGATATAACCCCATGATACGATGTAGTAGTTTCCATTTTCTTTTCCATTATCCCAATATAAGCTGCAAACAAGCTGTTCTGTTTCGATGCGGCCCGGCTTCGCCCCTAGAATCAGATGCACGTATATAGATATGCTCTCCTTGAGCACATACCTTAGAACTCTTGCATCCCAACCTATCTTACGAAGGATGTTCTTTTGGATATCTGACTAGAGAAGACTTGGCTGCCCGACCCCTGAAACCCAAGAGCCTTATGATTTCAGGGAGTGGAGTACGTAATGGAGAGGAATTGGGCAAGTATTACAGTATTGAGGGTTATGTAGAAAAATTACCCTTAAAACCTAAGCCCTGAAACCCTAAACCCTAAACCCTAAACCCTAAACCGCGTAACTGTGACGCCTCCAACTTGCCATGGCGGAGCGTAGAGTCCTCGTTCACATCGAGGATGCCACGAACGTTCAATCTTCAGGCCCTTGAATTTTCAGGGAGCGCATATACCTCAATCAAGGAGTATACTGGTATATGAAGTCATGTTAGGGTCTTGATACGTGTCAAATAAGGGATATTCCTGCATCATGGTGAATTGTGCCCTCTGATCTTCGGGAGCAGGGGTAGGCTTAACGCTTGTTATTCCAGAAAAGTTACACCCGCTCCCCCTTCAGCACCAGCAAGTTGTGTCCCCGGGGTATAGCAGTTTCGGGCTCAGTAATTCATATGTACATGGGACTTCCTGACTAGTTCCAATATGTGGGGCCATGATTCTACTAGCTCCTGCATTGCAGGGATGATCGAGTATTGCGTGGGAGGCAGACTGGGATCATCATGCGGAGATTGTAGGTTGAGGATCTGAGTGTAACTCTTGATTTGCATGGCTTCTTGAGTTCGTGTAGACAGGTTGGGGTCTTCGGAGACGGGGTATTGGTTCGGGGGAGGCAATCTCGGGGAGATTCGAACCATAGGGGGTTACGGCCCATTCACGGTTTCTGAGAGGCAGGCTTTGAACAGAGAATGTCTCAAAGGTCATGCCCGAAAAGCACTAGATCCTAAACCCGCAGCCCTAAACCCGAAGCCTTAAACCCTAAGCCCTAAACCCTGCAATAAGCTCCCAACCCCACACCCCAAACCCCAAACCGCATCTGTATGTAAGCCCACACGAACAAATATGTAAGGCCTGAGGCGCACAGTAGAACACATCTCACAGGAATGTCCTAGTTCGTGTCTGACGTCTTTAAAAACCAACGCCCTTGACTTACTGGTTCTTAGTAGGGAATAATGGAATACAATCCCTATATAAATCCTGGACTATAATCCCTTGTTCCTTAAAACCCCAAACCCTACAACAGCCAGTTCATTGAGGCAGCTTTTTCAGCGGTTGCTTGGCATGCAAGGAGGTTTGCTGGGCTGCGGTCAGTTGCTTGCTTCCTAATGTTCAAGGCAAAAGATTAGTGGAGTTAAGCCATAGTCTTACAGGGGGTGTTTAGGGAATGAGCGACTATATTATGTAATCTATATGGGGGTATGTTCCCTTATTCCCTATTATGTGAGGATTAAAGTTGTATTCCCTTATTCCCCACCAAGAACAATTAAGTAGTGCTCGGAGAACCCCGAAAATTCCCGCAGCTGAGCCTCCCTACAGTCTGGGAGAAATCCGGGTGTTTCTCAAAATCAGGGGTACCTTTTACAGCGAGTATAGGGGGTAACATGGGCGTCTAAGGACTATATAGGGATACATGTGGGGTTTAGGGTTTAGGGGTTTCCCAAAATTAGGGTACCATTTTGGGGGTCCCCATAATAAGGATAATTATAGCATTTTGAGGTCTATATATTAGGGTCCCCCTAGTTAGTGAAATTGTCATATGTAGATTCTAGAAGCCACGAACGCTAGCTTGAAAGCTGCCACTCTAGACGTCCGTGCCCGGTGCCAACACCTAGCCTTTCTTTCACGTTGCACAGGCCTAATATATGAAAATGTATATAACCCCAATATGTACCCTACTAACTATACTCGTTTCCATTTTATTTTCCATTATCCCAATATAACCCCTGTATACAAGACACAGGTCAGGACGGAGGCTCCTAAGCGAAGTCGCGGGAGTGAAGTAGTCAAACTACGTGGAAGAATGAAGCAGAACAATGGCTTTTACGTCTGCTCGCCTCCTATATCATCCAATGACGAAAATGGATCGTGCCCGTATCGTCTAGGTCCTAGGTCTGAAGAGTTTGAAGTGCTTCTCCTTCCCACAAACTACGTTGTCGTATGCCGCTGGCAAACTACATTGTCGTATGCCGCTGTGAAGGTTCCATGAAAACTTTGCTTTGCGCGCACCTTTACTTTTGTAGAGGCAGTCAGCGCGGTGGCAACACCTCGCACGGGCTTATCTCCATCCCAAGGCAATCGGCTCTTCATCGTGGTGCAGATTGATGACGGTCCGACTCTACGCACAGCCGCCGTGGATGAGGTGCAGCATTTAAGAGTTGACAAGCCTGTGCTGCGCGATGGATGTGCTGCGTATTTACCATTTGACTGGGTGTGTAGGAGCACTGGCAAGAGTTGCCGCGCAACAGGCTGTTCACAACCGAGCCCCGCACCTAATTACATACTTGCTTCTGTGTGCCCAAGACGCCTGTTGTGCCAGAAAGGGTTTCGCAAAACGAAAAATCCTAAAGAGGAAGCTTTTTACTGCCTTTTCATCCCTGTGCATCCCTATGGTTCGTCACGTTTCCCCCCTTTTATAGCCTCAGTAGACGATCTTCATACACCTTTAGCTTGCATTGAGCTTCCAGGCGTTCGGGTCTGTACGTTGGAGCTTCCAGGGCGACCTTTCTTGCCTGGACACAGCAGCTTGGACAAGACGGATGACACACTAGGATCCACAGGCTTGGTTCGCCTTAGTGACATTCCTAATCTTATGAAATGTGGACGTCGAAAGGGACTTATGAGGAGATCATCATCGTGGATTCCCTGTCGAGGTTCCATTGAATCCATAAGGTGTACCTTGAGAGATGCACAGAGATCTTGAGGTGAGCTATAATTTAAATAAACTCCTAGTACCCCCCTTAGGCCCTTTATAGCCCCTATATGTAAGACTCCCCCATAACACTCCCCTATATAACCAACCCCCTTTAAGGAGTTTTAGACTATAGCTCAGGTGGTAAGCTTCCAAACACCTTTCTCTCAAAAGCAGTCTGGGCAGCTCTTTCCTCCAAACGCCGAAGCCCTAAATGATCGCATGAGTTGTGACAAGGTTCTCTAAGGACTGATAAGAGTTCAGGGGTCTACTCTCATATTGGATATTCCCTCCATAAGTGATTCCTTCTTAGACACTCCCCCTACATGTAACGGTGGTAGATTGGGAATAAGTGTTGCCATGGAGTGGTGGTTTATGACTAGTGGAGGAGGGGACTAGGGCCCTCAGCCTCTGTAGATTCTTGCAGGTTCCTTTTGAACCAAGAGCGAAGCCCTCAGACGGGATGCTTTCAAGGCGGCCGTGTCAGGTCTGGAAGCATACCCTGGAGACTCCTGATGAACTGGTTTAGGGTTTAGGTTGAGCTTCCTGCAAGTCCTTGCAACCCAGGCGGGGTTTAGGGTTTGGAGTGCCCTTAAGTTGGCCAAACTATGGCGAAATGGAAGCAATCTCACCCAACATCACCTTCAATTCGTCAGCAGTGGTTCATACAGGAAGCGGTCCCCAAGTGCTTACTTTCTGGTTCTGAAAAGACTGTAGAATTGCCGGATTCAGTAATATACCTTAAAAGGTGGATTTTAGGGCTTATTCCTTGAGTAGGATGAAGGGACCCCCCTGAGAAACCCGTAAATCCTGAGCCCTGAACAAGTGTCTTTTGACTTTGCTTCCTGTTTGCAGTTACAAGTCTCAAGCCTCAGAGGCCCAGTGCGTCCAGGATGCAAGGCTTCGCGTCCTCACTTAGCCAGACTGACTGCCAGGGCTGCTGCTTGAAGGGCGAGCAGCCGGAACCGGAGCACATCAAGGCTGATGTTGCTGATTCTGTGGGACCGGAACTCTCCCCGAATCCGACAGAAGTGCAGGAAAACCTGACCTTGAGCATGGAACAGGATGATGTAGTGCAGACAGGCAGAACAGACTTGACGACAGTTAGCGCCGAGCTGCTGCGCACAGTATTGCTACGCAAAACGCTCCAGGCAAAGGGCACACTGGCGCTACAAGCCAGCAAACCTAGACACTGCCCAGCGCACGGCCCCCCCCCAAAGCTCGCCACCGGCCGTGGTTGCACGCAGCCGGAGA